GCTTTAAACGCTTTTCACACCATTTAGCCACATTTAATTGTTTGGGCTTTTATTTATCTCTCTCTCCCTCTATCTTTTCTTTCGTCCTACTTATCTTTTTCCCCCCTTCTTACTCGCACCCTTCTGTCCTCTCACTCTTTCGCTCTGTCTCTCCCTGTCTCTCTCATGTGAATGAGAAAAGTTACCATCCGTTCTGTTTTGACATCCTAATTTTTCTCTGCTCTTTCGATAATATTTAGTTAAGGGTATTCCATGGTCGTTTTCGTCTGAGCGTGCCAAAAGTGTTGCTTTTATATGAGTATAGCTCATGCGGGTGCTTTGCCTAAAAGTAGGCTGCACAATTGATGCATTTAAATCACCTGCACATTGCCAGGGCCGACACGCCCTCGCCGTCGCCCTCGCCCGCCAGCCGTCACCATTAGGCGAAATTAACGCTTCCAACATATGCTTTGTAGTTTTGATCAATCAATGCGTGAGTGGTTCCGTCACTTTAAACGCAGTCAAGAATTATCGCTAATCAATTATTAATTTTAAGACAGGGTCTTTACGCCAAACTCGAAAATTATAAGAGTTAGAAAAACTTACAAAAATTGCACGTTTTGGATAACTCTCCCCGTTTCCCCTTAAGCTACAAGAAACTCAAATTTAATGGCAAAGACTACAACTTTTCGGCTTACACACATTTGAACGCCATATTCAAGCCCTGAAAATAACATTAAATGTGGAAAATAAAAACCAGAAATAATGAGCAAGGCATTTTCCATATTATAAAGCTAAAAGAAGAAGAAGCACTGCCTCTGGCGCAGCTTGCAGCATGTGTGAGTGTGTGTGTGTGTGTGTGTGTGTGTGTGTGTGTGTAAGCCAAAATGTTTATTACGGCAGCTCGGCTTTGGGTACTGGATGTCTTCTAGACGGCCAGTCCCAAGGAGCTGCATTAGAAACTTCTTCTACCCAAAACACAAGAACCCTGGAGCGAAAACATAGAAACCTGATCTGCTCGGGCCATGGAAGGACCTTTTAAGCCCCTTCTAACCAGTTTTAAACTTTTAATGGAGTTTGCAATGGTTTCCGCGTATAATTAAGAGAAAAGCATCGATTATACCAACTGATGCTGCATATATGTGCGCATTAAGTTGATTTAACTAGAAAATTTATATGTGTTTTTGGGCTCATTAATGCATGCAAGCTGAGGCATTAATACGTGCACACAAACACACAGATGCGTACATAAATTTACAGGGCTTTCGCCATTACCTTTTTTTCCATTTAATGAGTAAACGAATAAGCGGCATCATTAAAAATAATTGCAAAAAACATTAACATTAACACATGCTGAATTCGATATCGATACTTATCGATTGCATGGAAACGATCCTTGGAAATAAGCTCGAGCTGCAACGTAGGAGGAGAAGTCTCTGAGCTCGACGAACGGACATGGCACATTCGACTTAATCGACTTTACTTTATGGGGTCGGAGATGGCTCTGCCTGCATGTTACATACGCTTGCACAAGTCCATAATGCCGGTTTTCAATGGGTTCAAGGGTATAATAAATCAAATGCAAAGTACGACAAAGACAGCAGCAGCACAAATTTGGCAAGCGCCCAAAATTGTTACCATTCAACAGTTGGCCACATTCGTTGAGGTCGTCTGGTCTGCCAGGGTGAAGGGAAAGAGACAGAGGGTGCGGCAGGGGGCTGTTGAAGCTGGGCGTAAGTTGGTTTTTGACAGGGGGCATGCGGCAGGGCGACAGTTGCTAGCGCGCTTTTGGATGCGAAGCCGCATTTGCGTTCTCGTCGGCTTCTGTTTGCATTTGCGTTTTGTCAGCCATATGACAGCGGCGGGCAACACAGCAGCGCCACCTGCGGCTCAATATTGACACTTTTGTCGCTTGTCTCTTTCTCGCTCTCCCTCTCTGGGAGTGTGTGTGTGTGTATGCTATTCGGAACGTGTTTGTTCAAGAGCTTTATACAAATAGCCCATAATTAAATGTAACAAGTTTCCAGCAACAAATAAACAACAACAAAACATGACGGCAAAATGTGCGACACCTGCCTGCTCCCTGCTTTGTGTCCTGCCAACCGTTCATCCATCCATCGAGCCTTCCATCCATTTATCTATTTATCTGTCTGTTCATCTGTCTGGCCACCGCTGCCCTGCCCTACCCTTCCTACCACTCACCTGCTGATTGGCCCATTTCTTTTTCTCTCTCTCTCAGCCAGTCGCCTACCGCGCGTAGTGCCCGACATTGTTGGGATGCCAGCGCCATGTGCAAAGGGATTGGAATCGAGCACTTCCCTCTACCTTTTATCCGAACTGTTTCCCGCAAAATATGCGACGTCAACTGCTCGCAATGCGTTCGGAATTTCAAGCCAATCCAAATATTTCTTCACTTGGATAGTTGAGTGTGCCTGAGGAATTGTGATAACGAGCCTGATTCTAATGAATGATTGATTGAATGAGTAAATGAATTGATTCAAGAGCACACAAACGAGGGTGCCGACTCTTAAATATGCCAGCAGACACATTTCATCATTAAATAGCTCGAATTCTCTCATATTGAAGGCAAAGCAAGATTGGACATTAACTTGAATCAATAAACTGGTTATCCATTCAAAAAACTTTCTATTTAATCAATTGCTTAAGTGAAGTCAAGCGTTTGAAGGGGCTTATCTATATGATTTAGTGTGAGCTAGAAAATGGCTTTAAAGTGCTTTAAGCGAAAACCTCAGAGTTGGTTTTAGATCGTTTCATCATTGTATTGTATCAGTTCAGCTTACGCCTCCAAAACATTAGCTAAAGATGATTATATTAATGCCTGCAATATAAATATTCTGAGCTCTTACAGTAACAGGAGGTATCTAGGAGTCGTGAATATTTCTAAAAAGCATGTCCTGCAGGGTATCTAACAAGTGAAATATTAGCTACACTTGCGGAATGGGGTTGGGCTTGGCAATGCCTCTTACAGAAATATCAACAAATTTCACTCGTCCACTTACTAAAGAGCATCTGGCAGTCGTGCATACCCTAGCATGCAACACTAAACAGTCATGTATTTGCTTTGGTGCCAGCTACAAATTCTTGCACCAAATCGCTTTGTCTTGTCGACATACGAGCTGCTAACAAAGATGGCAGTCGGGCGGACGGTCGGACGGACAGCAGCTGGAACCCAATACTCCCCTCACCCACACTGCAGCTGACCATGCACATGTGTGTGTGTGTGTGTATGTGTGTGTGTGCTTGTAAGTTGCACTTAACAGACTGGATCCATGCGCCATGGGGAAGTTACTGTTTGACATTTGCTGTCATTGTGAATGTCCTCGACATTTGATGTTCTTGTTGTTCTTGTTATTGTTTTTGTTGTTGTTGTTGTTTTTGTTGCTGCCACCGCCTGCGTTGCCTTTGTGCAATTGCCGTTGTTTGTCCAGAGCCCATGGCCAGCAGCGCCTTTGTCTTCGGTGGCCAGTCCAATATATGTACTCGTATATGGAAACAGACCAGCCCGACGTGTGTGCCGCTTTGTGTGCTCAACTTTCAACAGTTGCTTCAGCGAAGAACCTATAACACGTTGTACAGCACTATTACAAAACAGAAGAGAACAAAAAGACAAGAAAAAAACAGTGTTGTGAAATACGTTCTTAAAATGTACTCGCTTTGTCTGACGGAATTTGCCTCATTTCATTCGTTGATTAGGCAATTTGATCAGCCTGTCAATCCATCAATCTGATAACTGTCTAGCATTGAATTTATTGGTTTGACAGCTTGATTTACATTTTACCGTTTTAAACGTTCTTCTGAAGGCTTTCGATTGCTAAAAGCCGCTTGCAATACTTTCAGATCTTCTTGCAAAGTATTCTTATAAAAATATATATAGAATATAGAAGACAATTATGTGCCAGGCATATTTATCTTATTAATCTGGAGATCAAACCGTGAAGATCTAACCAATTCTTTTCTTATAAACGAGAACTGTGGAAAAAAAGGACTAAAAGGACATCGATATTGTTTTAGTTTTTCCTACTTCTTCCATATTTTACAATATGTTTTGAAATTACAACTGAAGCGCTTTAAGTTTGAACAGAATTTATTATGTGATTGAAATTTTCCGCACTATGCATTGGTCTAGATATATTCAGTTAAAACGTCGTTCATACCTAGAGTTAATATAATTTCAAAATTGCAATTGCTGTAAGTCCTTGATTTCCATTGGTGTCAAAATTCAATTGTGTATAAAAAATAAACACTGAAATATAGTTAAGACGAGTTACTAAAATTCTTGAGTCCAAAAAAAAATGCACATAAAATTCTCGGAAAAAAGAAATTTCTCAAGAGTTGACTTTCTGTGAAATACCATTTCTCAAGGCAATGTGTCGAAACACCAAGCAGGTCTCAGTTTCTAAAGAAAACCTAATTGTATTAAATTCCCGAGGCTGGGAATTCTAACTAAGAGTTTCATGATTTATTCGGAATTGTCTAGGGACTAATGCAATTAGATGCACTTGTTAATTAAAAATAATTATGATCATATTTATAAGAATGATAATTGTCTCAATATTCAAGACTAGTCTAATTCTAATTTTGAATGCATTTGCTCTTATTGCAGCTACAAAACTAGCAACTGGCAGCTCAAAGAGCTTGTGAATATTTCAAAACGGAAACGGAAATCAAGTGCTGGCTAACGCCAAAGATAAGAACAGACATCTGCAGCAGCAGCGGGAGCCGAGACTCAAAAGTCGGGAGTCGGGAGAAGCAAAAGAAATAGTCGTCAGTCGACAGTTGAAAACAATGCAAATTAAAATACAATAAAATGTAAAACACGGCAACAACAGCAACAGCAACAGCAACAACAACAACAACAACAACAACACAGGCGGCGGCAACAGCAGCTGGAAACAAATCTAGCTAAAAAGAGAAAGAGCGAGAGTCAGAGAATAAGAGAGAGAGAGAGAGGAGAGAGCGAGAGAGATAGAGAGAGGCGGGTGTAAGAAGCGAGTGTGCGTGGGTGTGGGTGTGAATACTGTGGTTGAAAGCATGCCAAATGGAAATGAGAAGCGCGCGAAGTGGCGGCAACTTTTCCACTGAATTGATTCGAGCAGAAGTCACAGGATACGCGGTGTAGATAGCAGCAACAATTTGCATAATTTTCAGCAGCGGACACGCCAGCAACATAAGCAACAGCAGCAGCCAAGGGCATAAAAAGGCGCCAAAACAATACAAATACAAAAAAATAAATAAATAAAAAATAGAAGAAGAAAAAACAAAAATAGACAATGTAAGCAACGGTACTCAAAATTCATTAAAAAAAATATATATATATACATAAATAAATCAAGACAAAAAATACGTCGAAGCCAACGAAAACGCGCGCAAAACGCGAGTGTAACGCGCGTGAAACGCTACAAAGCAAAACAAAAAAACAGCAAACGGAACAACAACAACAACAACAAAACGGCCGCAAAGTTTGCCTATAAATGTACCAGGACAGCAGCTGCAGCAGCAGTAGTCGACGTGGCAGTGCAGCAACAGCAACAACAACAGCAGCAGCAGCAGCAGCGACGGCAGAAACTGGGGACGAGGACACGTTCGAGGCGCTGACAATAATAACAACAACAACCATAACAACGACAGCTGATGCTAAAGTTGGCGCTGCCGAGGCAACAACAACAACAACAACCACCACCACATTGATAACAGCAGCAACAGCAGCAACAGCAACAGCAACAACAGCAACAACAGCAACAACAGCAACGAGCGCAGCAATCGACAGCGCAGCCAGCAGCAACAACAGCGACGACGACGACGACGACGTCTACACCGACGCCGACTTAGATATTGAGTGCACCACCGCTCACGGCTCCCGCTTGCCATCCTCAAACCTAAGCAACAGCAGCAGCAGCAGCTGCGGACATGCCGCGCTGTTCTGCGACGCACGACGACAACAGCAGCAGCAACAGCAGCAGCAGCAACAGCAACGGCAGCAACAGTTGCAGCTGCAACAAACGCAACGCGCCGCCGCTGCCCTAAACGCCGATGTACGGCTGCTGCGCAAAATTGGATACATTGCATCCCGGGTGCGCTGCCTGGCCAAGTATTACGGCGACTTTCATCTGGTCAATCCGTACAGTGCACAACGGCAGCGACGCCAGCTGCAGGAGATATTGCTAAAGCACTCGATATTCGTTCCGGGACGCGAGCGCGAACGGGCGCTGTTGCTGGCCGCGGCAGCGGCGGCCGTTGGCGCAGCCACAGCAGCAACTGCAACAACAACAACAGCAACAGCGGCAATTGTGAGTCGCAGTCAGAGCTGCAGCAGCAGCTGTTTTGAGCCGGAGCAACAGGACGAGGCAGAGCAGCTACATCTACAGCAGCAGCAGGCATACGAATCGGAGCTAGAACCAGATTTCGCTGAGGAGGACGAGGAGCTGGCATTTGTCACCGCGACAGCAACAACACCAACCACAACAACAGCAACAGCAACAGCAACAGCAACAGTGCGTCGCAAGTCCTCAGCAAGCAGCACAGCTAGTGGTGCAGCAACGGCAACCGCTACCGCAACGGCAACAGCAAGCGCATCCGCCAGCGGATCGAGCAGCACATCTGCATCGCTCTTAACAGCAGCCACACCCATAGCGCTGTTGGAAGAGCTGCTCGTGCAGTTGTACGAGGATCAGGATCAGTGTGGCAGCAAGCTGACTGTCATACGCAGACGAATCGCCTGCACTGACAACCTAAACAATCTTAACAACAACAACAACGACAACAATAACAGCAGCAGCAGCAGCAGCAACAACAATAGTAACAGTAACAGCATCAACAACCGCAACAACAACAGCAGCAACATTGGCCACAACAGCAACAGCAACAGCAGCTTCAGCAACGGCCATAGCCTGACCATGTCCACATCCATGTCGAACATGGTCGATGCAGCATCAACAGCAGCTGCTAGCGCGGCAGCAACTGTTGCCGGCGATATTGCTGTTGTGCTACCCACCAGCAGCAGCAGCACCGGCGTCGGCGTACCTAGTCAGCACCAGGCTCGCGCCTATCTGCAGCCCTCGCTGGATGCCGATAACCCGCGTCGGCGTCGCGCCAGCGACTGCTCAGCGGTGCAGGCCGCAGCCGCACTCTCCAATCAGCTGCACTGCATCACGCTGAAGAACAACAATTGCACAGCGGCTGCAGCAACAGCCGGCAAGCTGCCCTTTCATCGCGGCAGCTGCGGCGCTGCCGGCGAGCATCTGCTGGCCGCCAATTCGATTGCAAATCGCGCCACCATCATTCTGAGCAAGTCCTGCAGCAATGTGGACGGCGATGTCAGCCTGACGGCAACCGTCGGCAACAAGCTGCGCGCCAGCGCCACGGACATTGAGAGCAACTCGAATGCGCTGAACGGTGGCGGCATGGACGCTATGCAGACCATTGCCGATGCGGCATCTAACAATGGCAACAATGAGTACAGCATTCTCCAGTTGAACAATACGATCATCCAGTGTCATTTCAATGATGATGATTTTCGCGCCCTTGTCAAGGATCTCAAGCGCAAGGTTGAGTACACGGAGCGCATGAATTGGCTATGTAAGTAGCGATTTAATTTTCATTAGCTTTACTTTTTATTATACAAACACGAATCATTGACTATGTAGCTTATTAGTACAAAATGTACTCTCGGTCCCTGCTCGGGCGCCAATGTATAATGAGCAATGTATCTGGATATATTTATATTTATTCAACTATTGATGACAGATCCAAGCTGATGCAGTGAATTTGCTGCTACGTAATCCTTGGTCTCTTAAATTTTACTTAAAATTCGAATATTCAAGTGTGTAGCTTATAAGTACAGATTCGCTTTGATAATCCTTAAACCCTCAAATTTAATATAACCTAAAAGTACAGTTTGTACTCTCAGTTTCTACTCGGGCGCCAATGAATAATGAATGATGTCTCTCGATAATTTTTCTTTTGTGATTCGTCCAAGCTGATTCAGTAAATGCGCTGTTTTGATAATCCTTCGCCCATTCAATGCGCTGCAACTCACAATGACAGTTTGTACTCTCAGTCCCTGCACGGTCGCCAATGAAAAATCCATAGTTTTCGAGTCTCTCATAATCGGATTTGATTACAAACCCTGATTATTCCGTGTCCACGCCAAGCACTTTCATACATTATAGAGTACAGCTCTGGGTTCCTGCTCGCGTTCATTATGCGGTTGATTTGTTCAAGTAAAAGCATTGAATCAGTTAAATGCATATTACAGTTTTCGTTTAATCCGCAATTCAATTATTACGTTCCCTGCTTGGGCGCTGTTCAAAATGCAATAAGTTTAGCTATCCAATTTTTGGTCACAAGCACACTTTTACAAATGGTATCGACAGGCCTATTAGCATTTTGAATCTGTGCCCGGGTGCCGTCGAAAATTTCATAAATTACAATTACAATTAATCGTGTTACATGTACAAATCGCTAGAACCAAAATGTTACACTCTATAATCTTATCTTGATTTAGAAAGTTGACAAAATATGGCGTCTTAGGTTTTGCTACTCTAGTTTCCAGCTACGATTTCGGAAACGGACTTTTGTGTGAGTCAAACTCTTGAGGCAAATCGTTTCGAATGGGCGAGGTCAGCGAATGCAGCGAACCGAACAAATGCGAATGGGCGACCCCTTTAGCAATTGTGAATGCCATTTGAAATGATTTTTACATTTCATTGTAGTTCCATTTACTATTTTGCATTCGCATTTGCCTCTTGTTGCCTTCGCTTACGGCTCATTTGAGGCATTTACACATCAAACTTGACCGGTCATTTGTTAGCGGCATGCTTTGAATGCTGACAACATTCTTGGCAAATATCAAATGTTAAACCCTGAATGCATAACTTGCACTGTGTATGCAAATGTGGAATGCTATCTATATCTGATTCTTTTTGTTAACCCAGAAGTCTTACGAGTGCCCTCTCAAAAGCGTAGCTGTGGCGTATTAATATATACAAAGTAGATCGAATTGCTTTATTATATGTTAGCAACAATCGGTTCGATATTTGGTTGTACACTTGCATTCCAACTTGTACTCGACTAGTAGATACCCTGCACTTCCCAAAAATGCGTTACTGCAATATTGATGCAATTTATAATTATAATGGTATATTCTAGATACACCTTCTGTACCTCTTCTTTCTACGAGATAGCCGCAGAATATGTAGATTTTTGTGCACAGTTACATACAGTGAATTACAATTGTTCAAAGATACTCAAGCTGAAAAACAGGCAAGGCCAAATCACAGAACGCATTAAAAACTTGCATCGGCTCCTACAGCTCCGACAAGGAAGTGGCTTAAGGATAACACATCAACAAAAACAAAAACAACAACAATAACAGGCAGCAGGGACAACAATCCGAGCGAGTAACTTGTGATGCTCATCAAAAAGTTGCTCTACATTTGGAGTCTGCATAGCTTTAGCTGTGGCTAGGCACAGTGTGCGCCATATTCTTGCCTTGACTGTAGGCAGTACACTGTCTGTGTCTGTGTCTGGCGCTTGATTTCATGCGCTCGCCCTTTCTCACTCTCTCTCTCTCTCTCTTTCTCTCTCACACACACTCTCTTCTCTCTACTTTGGTCTGGCTGTGCTGCTTGTGGCTGGCCCTTTTTACGCCTTTTATGTGTCCGGGGTGCATGTGTCTGTGTGTCCAAGGACAACGGACGGAGAGGACGACAACAACTTTGTTGAATGGCATTAAAAGTTGTCTTTGTATCGACGCGAGACGTTTGCCGTTTGCCATGGTCTTTTTTTTTACATTGCTTCCTTTTTCGTCCTTGCACTTCGCTGGCACATGCGTGTGCGTGTGCGTGTGCGTGTGCGTGTGCTGTCACTTTTCCACTGTGTCGCATTTTAAACATTTCAATTAAATTGCCCAGTCGCTTGCCTTCAATTCGCCTACAATTCGTCTTCAATTCGCCTTTAATGCGCTTTCAATTCACCCTTAATTAATTCGCCTTTTATTTGCTTTGCATCTGAGCATTTTGTTGCCTGCTTTTTGGCGCCTGTTGATTGCCTTTTCATCCATTTTCTCTGGCTTGTGACACCTAATATTTACACACTCCATCTCCATAGCTGTATCTCTTTCTATCTTCCTCCTTTGTCTCACCCTCTCTGCCTCTTCCCTATACCCCGTTCGCCAGAATCTCACTGATTCGTTTGGCCGCTTTGATTTTTATTGTAGTTGTTAATCTCTTAAGTTGATTACGCGCTCAAGCGAACAGCTCTCTCTCTTTCTTTCTCTCACACACACCCCTTATGCATATGTGTGCGTGTGTGTTTGTGTGGCATAAGCTGTTGGAGCAATCATTGAGATCGTTACTTCGTTTTCTACTTGCTGCCGCTCCGTCCCTTCTATTGGCCTTGCATAATTTTATGGCTTGGTTTTTAACTGTTTTCCGCCCACACAATCCCATCTTGGCCTGCATTTACAGGCCAAAAGCAGCTTTTGCAACTAACAATTAAGGACACCAGACGTTCAGGGCCACATAAGCCGCCATGCATTCGCGGATACGGCTAACAGCAGCAAAAGTTCGCGTTCTCTCGTTAATTGAAGAACGTAGAGTCATAAATTTAGTTGCCTTTTGTCTGCATACTAAGTATTTTCGCTACACTGGCTGATTTTGTTCAGTGTTGCTTAGCAACACTGCATGTAATTAAAATGGAATCAGATAGAAATATACTGTTTTTATGACAACTTAAAGTAGAGGGAGACGGTGAGAGTGAGAGAGAAACAAGTGAAAACTGTTTCCAAACCTTGCTGTACATATTCAAGCTCTTCCGTCTGTCTGTAGGTCCGCGAGAACTCAAAAATTTGTATGTTTATATTAAGCACATTTTAGCTCTGTGGGCGGGCTCTCATGTGTTAAGGCCAAGACATTTTAAACGTTAGTTCGGTTTGGGAACTAACTTTGATGTGTGGCAAATAAACAAGAAGTATAAATTCGAAACCAATCAAGATTTATTCTATTTCTATATCGTTTGTTCAACTAAAAAAATACCCACTTTTATGGCAAAAGACGTTAATTGTTTCACCCAACGTAATAAAGCGAGCATTTTTCTGGAAAATGTCAAAATGTGCGAATGCAAATGTCAAATCGCAAACTGGTCACACTCAGTGTAACACACAGCATAAGTGGCAGCCCTTGTTTACATTTATACATTTTAAAAGATAGTTTTTTTCTTAAGCTGATTCCAGAACTCGAATTGTTTTCGCCTAGACTGCCTTAAGCTCTTGTGGAGCCTGACACATCAGGCACTGCTCTTCTTCATCAATCTGAACTGAGCCTCTACGATAGCACCTGTTGTCAAGTTAATTTCAGTGTCGAATTTAATATAAACCAAAGACTAAGTCAAGCTGCACAGTGGGCTGGGCGTGCAGTTGGGGGCTGTTCACTTAAAGTGGGTCAAACACATCGCACTGTGGGCCATGCAGCATTGGGTCGTAAATCAAAACACAGTGCCGTACGTACTGCCTACTCGCCTGGCTGTCTGTCTGTCTGTCGCATTGTGTGGAGTATGTGCCAAAGGTCGCAAAACCGAAATTGCCCCGCGGCTGTGCGGCATTAATGGGGGATGGTTGCTGGGGGGAGGTAGGGTAGCCACAAAACGCAAAATGGTCATAAATTCAAAAAGCCTAAATGGCTTGGCAATACCTACAACATAGCAGCCGCAAGAATTTCAACAAAAAAAAAGATGGATTCCAAAAATGAAAGAGCAGCAAAGCTGGATGCAAAGAGGAGCAGAGCAAGGAACAAAAATGAAAAGAACAGGTCACATAATACGAATGACAAATAATAAGAGGCAAGAAATATGTCGGAAATCTACTCAAGACAGCCACAAGCCGCCAAATGCCAAACGCTAACCAAATGCCAGTCAAGAATGAAAGAGAGGGCATGAGTGGCAGAAAGTAAGGCACTTAAAACACCGAACTGTGGCTGGGGCAGACGCGGGGGCAGGGGTAGGGGCTAGGGTCAGCCTGACGTTGGCTGCGACAAAGGCAATGGCCAAATGGTGAACGGCAAGCAAAAATCTAATAATAATAAAATACTTTATTGTTCGGTTAACAATTCAATTGTTTCACTTAACAAGACTCGACTCAACAGCGACAGAGAGAGAGAGAAAGGCAGAGACTGGGCAAGTGCTTGGAAATATGCGCAAATGAAATGGAGAAATAAAAAATAAATTGCCACAAAACAACATTAAGTGATAAAGTGTTTGTCAAATCAAAACGAATGACTTGAATGACTGACAAGGCACCATGAGAAGGGGTGAAAGAGTGAGAGAGAGAGGGGGAGAGAGAGAGAGGGGTAGAGAGAGAGAGAGAGCAGGAAAGAACAGAGAACAGCTAGACTAAAGCCTAGAGTGTCCGTTTAATTCATTAGAAATGAGTATCCATGTGTGGGCCGCTATTCAAAAGGACGCCAACAGCAAGTGAGTGTTGATTCAACAGCCACAAATGAATCAAATGAGTAAAGTAAAAACCAGGCAGTGAAAAACTCATGAAATGCTGTCTAAATTATTATTACGCATACGCAATGTTA